TAATGGTATTATTTTATTTTGTTACTATGATTAAATTTGTAATTTATTTGTAAGTCGCTTTGGATAAAAGCGTCTGCTAAATGACTAAACGTAAATGTAAATTTGTTTTATTTTATATTGTCTAACCTTATTTTAAAATAGCATAATTTAATTTAATTGGATTTTTTAAATTAATTTAATCTTGTTTTACTATAATGTAATATTATTATACATTTTTATTTTTGTTCTATTTTATCATATTTTATTTTTCTTATTTTATAATAATATAATTTAATTTAATTATTTTATTTTATTTTGACTAATTTTGTCTTATGTTATTATATTATAATATTATTATATACTGTATGTAAGGGATAACCAACGGTTTATTTTATTATTATGATTCAATTTGTTTTATTTTATTTTGTCTAACCTTATTTTAAAATAGCATAATTTAATTTAATGGGATTTCTTTTTATTTAATCTTGTTTTACTATAATGGAATATTATTATAATTTTTTTATTTTTGTTTTATTTTATTATATTACATTTTATTTTTCTTATTTTATAATAATATAATTTCATTTAATTATTTTATTTTATTTTGACTAATTTTGTCTTCATTTTGTTGGTGTGCATCAATTAAAGCAGCGCATTAATACAGAACGGTGATTAAACTGACTTGGAACTACCTGTGCATTAAACTGTTTTAATGTATACCTGCCAGCCAATCAGAATAGAGTATTCAGACAGACCATGGTATAAGTTATTGAATAGGAGCTTCAGTGTGACTGTTACAGGCATTAAAGGGAACGTTCACCCAAAAATTAAAATTCTGTCATTAATTACTCACCCTCATGTCATTCCAAACCAACAAGACCTCCATACATCTTTGGAACACAAATTAAGGTATTATTGATTAAATACCCCATAGACATCAATGCCACTACCACCTCAGAAAGGTATTAAAGTCATTGTTAAAATAGCGCATCCGGGTCTCTGTCAAAATGCCGGCTCCTGCATCAGCACCTCTTGTGAATGCATGTCAGAGACTGACACAGAAAAAAATAAATTGTTGAAAAAGTATTATCGTCACTTCATAATTAAGGTTGAACCACTATAGTCCTTATTTCCTTTCTGGGCCTTGAGGTAGTAGTTGCATTGCTGCACACCTGCCAGCCAATCAGAATCCAGTATTCAGACAGACCGTGGAATAATTAATTGTATTTTTGTATAGTCTAATTCAATAGTTTTTTTTATTGCAGTGACCCACCCACCGACTGCAGATATTGTTTTCTGTCAGGATTTAAAGGAATAGTTTTTGTTTTTATTTAGTTTTGTTATTATTTTTATTTTATTTTAATATAGTTTGTATTATTTGCTATTTTAATTTCTGTTGTTTTGTTTTACATTTTTTGTTTTGTCTAATTTGAACTTATTTTATTGCAGTGGCCTGTTTGAAGGAACAGTTCATTTATTTTATTTTATTTTATTTATTTATTATAATATAGTAGTATTATTTTATTGCATTATTTTAATGTAATGTTTTTAAATTTTAATTAATTAATTTTTTTGTCTAGTTTAATCTTCTAGTCATGCAAGCACGCTGTTCTCTTCGGTCCTCAGAGCTTCTGTATCTGTATTGCGGACTGCTGTTAGTTAGTTTATGCGCTGTAAGATCTGGAGAGGATTTTCTCCAGAGAAAAGTCTGTTCTTGCCGTCATCCGCTCGCTGTAGCCCGCAGATTAATTCAAGTATGCAAATGTAATTGAATTAGATCCAGTTAATCTTGTCCTAATGCCGGCTGAAAGATGTGAGGAGCAATCAAATCGCTCTCAGGCCTTTCATTTGCATCAGAGTTTTAAAATAAAATTAGTTCATTTGTAATTCTGTGACCCGGCCGGTAATTAGTTTATTCATCGCTGCAGTTAACTCCCCATTAGAGAGGTTATTTCTCTCTCTCTCTCGCTCTGTGCATTGGTAATCGGGACACTCGCAGCATCATGTAATAATGTTGAGAGTCATGTGATTGGACAGAAACTCAAGAATGCTGCCGTCTCTCAATCAGACTGAACGAGAAACCTCGTTTTCTTCATCTTTAGTAGCATTGTGTTTGATTTAAGAACAATGACAGAACGTATTTGTACACTTGTTTTTGCAAGCTTTGTTCTCGCCTGCTCCGGGGTCAAAATATACACCGTTGAGTGCATTTACACTGTTAGTGGGTTAAAGTGAGCTCTGATCTCATTTTGCTCCATTTGAGTTGTGAACAGGTTTTATTATTTTATTTTATTTTATTTTATTTTATTTTATTTTATTTTATTTTATTTTTTATTTTATTTTATTTTATTATTAATTAATTAATTTATTTATTTATAGTAAATTAATTAATTTATTTTTAATTAATTAATTAATTGATTTTAATTAATTAATTGATTTTTAATTAATTAATTTTTAATTAATTTATTTTATTTTTAATTAGTTTATTTATTTTTAATTAATTTATTTTATTTTTATTATTGTTTAATTGTATTTTGTATTTTGTACGTTATATATTTGTTTTATATATTTATGTTGTTTATATATTTATTGATATTTATTTAAATTTTTATATTTTATTTTATCATTTAAATATATTAGTTTTTTTTATATTTGTGCATCTTTTTATTTTAATTAATGAATTACATTTTTTATTTTATTTTAATTCTTTTTATATTTCAGTGTGGTCAAAACCTGAAAAGATGAGACCAGCAGTAGCACAGAATCATCTTTTTGGTCTCACTGGAAGTTTTCTGGAGGTCTACTGATTGATGAATGAATTATGAGGGATCGAATGAATGAATGTTTGTCTGCAGGTGGATGAAGGGATGTGATTGGGTTTGAATGTGTGTCTGTGCTGATGGTTTTTCTCGTCCTGCAGAGTAAATGGTCCAGAAAAGGCTTCATCCGAACCCGATGGGCGCTGGCTGACTGGTGAGTTCATCTCTGTCCTAAACCAGATCAACCCGGCCTTACAGATTTCAACCGCTTCATCAGCCAATTGTGTTTACTGCAGCTCTAGATAAATAATATAAGTTATTTAAAATTAAATGAGCAAAATAAAATACTATAAAATATGACATTTTTTAAAAATAAAATTAAAATCAATAATTTAAAATAAAACGCTAAAATATGTATATGAATTTAAAATAAATAGTAAATAAAATGAAAACAAATAATAAAACACATTAAAAATATTATTTAAAATAGAATAATGTAGAATGAAAGCAATCAAAAATAAAACACAAATTATTTAATAAATTAAAATAATTTAAAATTAAATTATTAAAATATTTTTTTAATAAAACTAAATAATTTAAAATAAAAGCAATCAAAATAAAACATTACATAATATTTTAAAATAAACAATCAAAATAAAACCAAAAGTACTTTTAATAAAGTAAAATAAAATAAGTAATTTAAAATAAAATGTACATTTACATTTAGTGAATTTGCAGACTCTTTTATCCAAAGCGACTTACAATTGGGGGAAAAAATAAAACACTTTAAAACTAAACTAAACCACTAAATGACAAAACTAAATTAAATTTAGTGTTTTGGTTCACTTGCATGTCATGTGACCATCAAAGAACATGTGGTAAATCATTGAAATATTAACTTATTTTAGCTGAAGGGGGTTCGGCTGTCACTGAAATAAGCTATAATTCTTCAAACTATCCATGCTTTCAGTGCACGCTTTGTCATCCTCCACTGCTTGAGATGCAGGTAAACCCATGAAACCTTTCTTCTGTTCTCTGTTGAACGGTCCGGCGGCCGGTTCGAGTCTCGGTCAGAGGAGAAGTGAAGCTGTAATAAGTCACTTGGGATGAAAGTCTCTGCTAAAGGACTAACCGCGCTTCTGAGCGAGTTTCTCCCGCCTGAGCCGCAGGATTAGATTACAGCTAATCGTGTTAGCCGAGCGCTTACATATGACAGATGACATGATCAGACCGAGAGAGAGAGAGAGAGAGAGAGAGCGGCTAATGCAATAGCAGAACGGCACGAGAGCAAGAGCGTCTGACACCGGATGAAGCTGATGAAAAGGTGACGGAGGAATAACAGGCCAAACCTGATTACTGAGATGCTTCCTCAGCACTGAGCGGCTCACTTCTGTGCTTTATTGATGTATAGAACAGAGAAACTCATAGACGTGTTCATATTAAGCAGTGAGCACATTCAGCCTGAGAACATTATAATGCATTATGAAGCTGTTCATTTGCATCTATTTTTGTGTGAGTACTTGTAAGCACCCATGAAACGCGGCAGGGTTTCCCAGACGAGGACCTGCAGGGAGTTTGTGAGGTGATGAAAAGTTAATAATTAATTAAATTCAAAGAAATTTTTTTTTTTAAATAAAAGCAATCAAAATAAAATACTTCCTAAAAATTATATTTTTAACTAAATTAAAATAAAATATGTAATTTATGTAAATATAACTAATTTGTATAATTATATAAACTATAAAGGAAATAAAAATAAAATATAAATTAAAAATGTTTTTTAATTAAAATAAAAACTAAAATAAAAAATATTAAAATTTAAAATAAGTCAAAACAAAACACTAAAAAGTATAAAATATTTTTTAAATAAATTAATAAAATAAATATACATTTATATGATATAAATTATAAATAAAAAAAAAATATATAATCTTTTAAGTGAATTAAAATAAAAGCAATTCAAATAAAATACTGAAAATTATTGGAAAAACGGAAAGTATTTTTAACTAATTTAAATAAAATAAATAATTGAAAATAAAAGCAAACAAAATAACACAATTTTTATGAATTAAAATTAAATAATTTAAAATTAAATAAAAACAAAATACTAAAAATATGATTTTTTTTAAATCATTTAAAATAAAATCATTCAAAATAAAACGTACTAACGTGTTTTTTATTGAAATAAAATAAAATAAATAATTTTAAATAAAAGTGGTTCGGCTGATGAAAATATTTGGGACTCACTGAAATGAGCTTGACTTATTTTTCAGTCCATTGTTTTTCATCCTGTGCACACTTACAGAGTAAACTGCAGGTTAACCCATGAAATGTGATTCATTGTGCACATGCTAATAAATCAGCTGCATGTAGTGCGGCATGAATGCATTCATAATATATTACACTTGTGGCTTGGTAGAAAGTGTTATTTAAGCTTTTCAAGAGTGTTTCCTTCACCTGACACACTTCACAGGTGCTTTCTTTTGTATCTGTTTTACATTCATGCATTTGGCAGATGCTTTTATCCAACATGTGATCAGTTCATGCATTGACTGGGAATCGAACCCGTGAGCGTGCCGTTGCTCTGTTGCATTGAGAAACGCAGCTGATAATATAAACGTGTTTTCTCTCTCTTAGTGCCTTTGACCTGGTGAACATCCACCTGTTTCACGACGCGTCTAACCTGGTGGCGTGGGAGAAGAGTCCGTCGGTTTACTCGGGAACGAGGCAGAAAGCGCTGGGCTTCGTGCTGGACAGGTGAGACAATCTGCTAAATGCATGTTCACTCTGAAGAAATGCATGCAGACCATATCAAGCGCTGGTGAATTACGGCTTAGAGATCATATTCTTTCACAATGAGAGACCAGAGCGGTTTACTACGCCATCATTTACCCTGATTTACAGTTTAAAAAGACCTTTCTTGTTGCTTACGATTTTCAGCTCTTTTATTTATATTAATCTCATAAACACTTCATCCCAGCACTTGTTTTCCTCTGATTAAATAATGTTCTCCAAGGGTTGTGTGTGATCTGAAATGATATTGTAAAAATGAAATAATTTTTAGAAAAAATCTATCAAAGTAAAACTTGTACTAAACAGATATTTGTTTAGTAAACTAAAAATAGATAAATAAAAATATTTTATTAGTTCACCTCTATGTAGTGACCATTAGGGTTGCAAAAAGGTGGAAAATTTCAAGTAAATTTCGAAAACATTCCAGAAATTTTTGGAAACTTTCCAGGATTTTTTTTTTTTTTATATTCCAGGGATTTTTGGAAAGTTTCCGGAAATTTACTGGAAATGTTCGACCCCTTTGCAACCCTAGTGACCATTAACTGACATCAGTTCATTATTAAATTATTATTAAATATAATAATAAAAATATTTTATTTGTTCACCTGTATGTCGTGACCATTAACTGACATCAGATTATTAAATTATTATTAAATATAATAATAAATCTCAAAGGGTACTATAATAAAATATTTTTGCTAATTAATATTATTTTATTTATTTCATTTACATTTCTTTTAATTAAATCATAAAAATGTAAATAAAATAATTTAAAATAAAAACCATAAAAATAAAACACTTACTAAAAAGATGAAACTTTTTATTAGTACATCTGCATGTCGTGTGACAATTAACTGACAATTGTTATTAATGTATTGAAATATTAACTTATTAAATAAACTAATAAACTAACTAATATTAACTAATTAAATAAAAACTGTAAATATTTAAAAGAAAAAAGAAAACCATCCAAATAAGCACTACTAAAAATGATCAAATAACTAATCATGTGAATGTTTTGTAATACTATTGAAATATTAACTTAAAATCTCAGCGGTCAATAGTCAATATTTTAGCACAGAGGGGTTTGAGAATGATTAAATTATTGAAATGTTAACTTAAAATCTCAAAGGGTAAATATTTTAGCTAATTAATATGAATTAATTTTAATTTACTTTTATTTTATTTAAATCATAAAAAATAAAATAAAATAATATTTCAATAGAAACCATCAAAATAAAACATTTACTAAAAACTTTAAATATTTTATTTGATCACCTGCATGTCATGCGACCATTAACCGACATCAGAGAATTGTTAAATTATTATTTAATTATTGAAATCTTAATATAAAACTCAAATTATACTTCAAGAAAATATTTTAGCTCATTGATATTAATTTTAATTTAATTGAAACCATATAAAAATGTAATAAAAAAAAAAAACCATCAGAATAAGCATTACTGAAACTGATCAAATAACTGTGATCATATGAATGTTTTGTTACATTTTTGAAATATGTGTTCCTGCAGCACAAAAGCAGTCTTAAGTCGCTGGGGTATATTTGTAGCAATAGCCAACAATACATTGTATGGGTCAAAATTATAGATTTTTCTTTTATGCCAAAAATCATTAGGATATTAAGTAAAGATCATGTTCCATGAAGATATTTTGTACATTTCCTACCGTAAATATATCAAAACTTTTTGATTAGTAATATGCATTGCTAAGAACTTCATTTGAACAACTTTAAAGATGATTTTCTCAATATTTAAATTTTTTTGCACCCTCAGATTCCAGATTTTCAAATAGTTGTATCTCAGCCAAATATTGTCCTATCCTAACAAACCATACATCAATGGAAATATTATTTATTCAGCTTTCAGATGATGTATAAATCTCAATTAAAAAAAATTGACCCTTATGACTGGTTTTGTGCTCCAGGGTCACATGAACTTAAAATCTCATTGGGACTTCAAGTACGTTTTATTTCAGCACAAATGGGTTCGGCTGAAAAACACTTTGGGAGTCACTGAAATACTCTATAATTCTATAACTCTATAATAAGAGCGTTCGCTCTGAGAGTCGAGCGCTGAGGCGGAAGCGTGTTTCGGCGCTGTTTCCACGCGTCTGAATGGAGTTCAGATTCGTCCGACCGGCGCACAACACCTTCCCCCAAAGCAGTGAATAATGTTGGGCTCTTTTCAGAGGCGCTACTAACCTTTTGGCAGCCACCAGTAAAGTCTATTCTCCTGTTGTGATGGAGGAGGACAATGTGGCTGAACAGCCTTTAGAAAGCAGCGCTACCTCCAACAGTGCGGTCATTCAGCGCCGGTTGGGAACCGACTTTAGGCCCATTGTCCGCGCCTCCCCCTGCACTCAGACCTCTTCCAGTTTGACTTTTCCTCACACATTCACCTCGTTTTTAACCCTCGTAATGCATTCAGAATCTCCATGCTATTTTCGCATCCCGGGTCCGATTGTACCTGAAAAATCGGCATTTTATTAAGCAGTCATAACTTTATATATAACTTCACTAAAACCGTATTGTATCTGATCAGCATCTTCTCTTTAGTGAGTGAATGTGAAAAAATCTAAGTTTTGAATGTTACAAAGTTATTACTGCATTTACCCTTTTTTATAAATAAAAAAATTGAGAACTTCTTTGAAATTTCAAATTACACATGAACTACACTAAAAACACTATGATGCAAGATATACATGTATATTTTTTTTAATATTGATGAGGAATTTTATTTGAATATATCATTGTATGACATTAATAAGAACACATAATCTGAGAATTATCAGTATTAATGAATGAGTCAAATGTTATTAAATTCCTTTGAATTTATTCAAAGGATTATTCAAATATATATTTTTCAACTAAAACCATATTGTATCTGATCAGCAGCTTCTGATTAATGAGAGAATGTGAAAAAAATCTGAGTTTAGAATGTTTACCTCTTTCTTATGAATTAAAAAAATGAGAAATTCTTTGAAATTTCAAATTACACATGAACTACATCAGAAAACTATAATGCAAAATATACATATGCATATATTTTAATGTTGATGACAAATTCTATTTGAGTATATCATTGTATGAAATTTATAAGACCATATAATCAGATAATTTTCAGTATTAACTCCATTGGAATCAGTTGAATTTAAATTCCTCTGAATTTAATTTAATTCCTCATGATTGCTCAAAAACAGTCCAAATTTATAAAATGTATTTTTTTTCTTACAAAACTTTCTTTTCAAACAAAATCAATTATTTTTGCTCGAGTAAACTTTCACTTTTAGATGAAAAAATGCTGCAGTGGTTTATCAATAGACGTATGTATTCATGTTCACCAACAAAATTCAGTCCAAAAGTCGGTGAGATATAGGGAAAAGGCTAAATATATGTTAGAAAAGTTTTGACACTAATTTAACTTCATAGATAATGTTTTTTTTTTTTTCTAAGTATTTTTGACACTAATGGTGCTCCATACATACCCGGGTCAAAAATGACCCGAACGCAAAAATAGTTACATCTCTTTAAAAATAATGGTAAAAAATCTTAAAAAAAATAAATGGTGTGTGTTTTGAGGGTCTCAAAGCGTCTGCCAAGTTTCGTTCCCTTACTAAACTATGCATTTTTTAGAAATGTTTATGTATCAAGACGACCCGAATGCATGGTTAAACTCAGTATAAAACTCAGTATCTCTGCTTCAGTTAACATACGAGCGCTGTTTATCTCTCAAAGCCTCCTGGGAAGGATCCTGGCGGCCGAAGCATCTTCATTCTGTGTAGTCGCTGTTTAATATGCACGGCCTGTAAATCACGACATTTCGCTGTTGCGTCGGAGGCAAACGGACGTGCGTTTCTGAGCAGATTGGTCTGGTTTTGACGCATCCGATCAGTTCCTCGGTCTTTTGTGTGCGCAGATATGTTCTTCCATTCAGAAGATGTGCTCAGGTTCAGGCCGGTGCGGTTTTACATCACAACTGTGAAATCTGGCCTAAAAGAGCCCCATTGTGCCCCGCTTTTATTTTCACACAAATATAGTCCATTGTCAGGCGGCTGAAGTTAATTTGATCAACATTGGAGACATTTAACTTTTCTGTTCAGTCAAAAGGCTTGTTTCATGCTCATTTTTGGCCCATTGAAAAGCCGTGATTGGCAGAAAAATAATGTTGCCGTTAACAATTCAGGGTAATTAGTTTCCCAGGGGGAAGCGCCGGGCCGCTCTGGCCGCCACACAACTATTCTTTGTGACTTTATGGATGGTCATCAGTCAACTGTCAGGAGACTCAAAGAGCCTCCCGGATAAATGTTTCCCTTTTGGCTTTTCCCAGAACAACAGGCTGAAAGGGAAAGAGGGTGAGCGAGAGAGAGAGAGAGAGAGCTGCTATGTGTGTGAGGAGAGAGAAACTAAACGTGTCAATAAGTGGAATGTTTTCAAAGGAGAAATACTGAACGCGTAGTTCCAGATCTTGTTTTTCCCCCATCTCTGAAAGAGCACATCATTGGGGAAAACATTGCGTAGCTCGACCAAAATGAGTTCAAATGACTGATGCTGATACTGATTTTTAGAGACACCAGTGGCTGACAGTGATTCTGATATCATTTAATGATGCACTCAGGATTTTATTTGATTTTATTTTTACACTAAACCATGTTTACTTTAGTAATTTATTAGACTTTACTATGACGTTACTATTTTTAATGGACATTACTATTTTTAAATTTATTAGACTTTACAATGTTTATTTTATTTACTACATTTCACAAAAAATTATATATATATACATATGATTTAGAAAAAATATTTTATTTTAAGTCAACTTTATTTACTAAATTACTAAATTTTATATATATATAATGTGTGTGTGTGAGACGTCATTTTTATACAATAACAGGTGTAGGGGTATTATTTATTTATTTATAAATATTTAAATTTAATAATTATTATT